GTGAGGAATTCACTCTTTTACTCATTTACAATTATAATAAAATCACTGTGAAGCATAAATTTTGAGCTATTTTGAGTTCAAAATAAAAGACGACCAGACGTTGCACAAAAAATTAAATCAGAGTAGTTCTTACTTGCAAAACATTCAAAGCAATGCATGAAGTGACGTTTCTTTAAAAAACGGCAAATACAGTACTGATAGTATAAGGATATGCTTAAGAAAGTAGCAAAGTCCATTTATGGAGTTTGAAAATTAATCTATTAGCATTTATGAAGTTTATCATATTTAAGGAATGAATAAACAAATAACACGAAAGAAGCAGTTTATTGACCACAAATAAGATTTGCAATGCCGCGAATGCATGTCAAAAACTTTTGTAGCAAATGTGATTTGGTCAAAATAATCTGCCAACGGAGCCAACTATTCATTAGTGCGACAGTTTACTTTCAGCGCATTATAATTTGCACATGAGAGAAGGTCAAACTTTCAGGATGGCCGTTTTGAATTTGAAATAAAAGTTGGAAAAAATAAACTAAGTGAAACTTTGATATGAAGATAATTAAATTATTTCTTGAATAACTAAGCTTATATCTTGCCAAAAACTTTCGTTTTCAGACAGTCACTGATATCCTAATAATATGTAACAATCACAATTTGGATTGATTTTTAAAAAAAAAAAGTTAATTGATACATTTTATGCGTTTTTTATGTTATTTCGCACTCCACATTCTCAGAAATTAATTTCTTCGCACTCTTCACAGTGTATAAAATAATTGCTTTTTTTTTGCTATTATGAAGTTACCGAAATACTCATTACGTTTAGAAATGACTCAAATTGTTTTGATTAATTATTTTTATTTCGTATTAGGTATATTGAAAGAATTTGCGATACTTTGGTGATGAAAAGTCTAATCATAAATGCATTAATTATTTAATGATAATATGATTACTTTGCACATGCTTTCTCTTGAGTGATGTGCCACCTATTAAAAAAACAAGAATGGAAATTTTCTTGTATCGCCCGTAGAATTATCCAAAATAAACTATTACATATTAAAAACTCTCATTTGAAGTTTTAATATCCTGTTGAACACTTTTATGAATGGATTACCAAATGTTTTTCATATTTAATGAATTTTTGATAAACGATATCAATAGGATGTTGATTATGGAAATGGATGACTAACATCAACGATCATTAAAACGACTTCCAATTTGAAATATTTCTATGAATTATTCAACCAAAGTGTTCACATTATCAGATTAAACTCTAACTAACAAGCAAAATTGAAAGCAAAGCATTGTAATTATTTTTGGAGATTTAATTTAATTTAATTTTTGCCATTTTGATTAGAAGTAATAATTTGCTTTGGTAATTTTGTAGAAAGTAATGAACAGATTGCCAGATATCGTTATTTTCAGAATTTTATATTCACTTTGTTTGCTGTCTCTGATTTAAAACTGCTGCATATTCAAGTTTTTATTAGTCGTATTTCCGTTCAACATTCATTTCCGCTATTTATAATAAATTTTTCTAGAAAAGCAGTTTATTGCTTAAACATAAATAATATAGTGCTTATTCTCCATGTGAACAGCAGACAACCGAGATATGATTCTGTAGTTATAACTTTTCAATCAA